AATTAAGATATTTAAGATATTAAGATCGCTCCTGCATACAGTCCATAGGCTTCTTGAGGTACTGGCTCTTGCTGTCCTCGAAAAGTCATTAAAGACATCGTTAAAATAGTCCAAGTGACTACAGGGGCTCAATCTTAAGTTTATCAAACGACGAGAACACTTTTGTGCGCAAAAAAACAACAAAAATAACGACTTTATTTCAACTATTCGTTTATTTCTCCCTCTGCGCGAGTCAGGTTACTAGTTTAATAGCGTAAGCTTCTGTTATTGTACGTCACACGCATCACACACACATGACCAGCGTCGGCCAATAGTGAGCCTACGTGTGACGTAGCTCTACGCAATCACACTACGTTAACTGACTTACAGGCTCATGGAGAAGGAAGTGATAGTTGAAATAAAGTCGTTATTTTTGTTGTTTTTTTGCGCACAAAAGTGTTCTCGTCGTTTGATAAACTTAAGATTGAGCCCCTGTAGTCACTTGGACTATTTTAACGATGTCTTTAATGACTTTTCGAGGACAGCAAGAGCCAGTACCTCAAGAAGCCTATGGACTGTATGCAGGAGCGATCTTAATATCTTAAATATCTTAATTTGTGTTCCGAAGATGAACGAAGGTCTTACGGGGTTGAAACAACATGAGGGTGAGTAAATACTGACAGAATTTTCATTTTTGGGTGAACTAACCCTTTAAAGAAGTTCTGTTGAGAAAAATGTTCAAAGTCATTATGACGGATTGCCTTTGTGTCTATAGATCACATTTTAAGTGTTGGGTTTCCCTCTGACCAAGAACTGCTGTGTTGAGGCTGGAAAACACAACATAGCCGTCCGCTTTAAAGTGGCTTCCTGCGAGAGTAGCACTGCTTTGGGAATCTACAGAGAAAAACAACAAGAGCAGCACACGACTATACTCACAGATAAATAGTGTGGCTCCTGTACCATAGGTTTTTCCAAATTAAGATGCAATTTAACAGTGCTGGATAAGTTTTCCCATCAGCACACAGCTGGAGGGGGAATCATCTGTTTGTGTTCGGGTGGGTGGTGTACAGTTCACTCTGAAGGGTGGGGTACGAATGGGGATCTGGTGACTGCAGTTTTTTGGGGGAGTTCCATGCAGCAGATGTGTGAAAGTAGGGCAGACGTAAACGACAGCGCTTGTGTAAGAGGTGGAGGTCTGATCTCAGCACATGTTTGGAGTCTGAGCACACACATGTGCAGATGGTCCGTATGTTTAAGAGTAAAACATCTCCACACAGGGAATGCAGTCCAGCACAAAGTTATTTGCTACTGAAAAATACAAAGCTAACAGCTAATTAGTAAAACTGTTGTAGTGAAAATTATTTTGGATGATCTTGGATGTGATTATAGGCACCATCCACTTTTTAAAAGACCTTGGTTCTGGAACTATATGAAGTGTAACGATTCCGAATTACCAAAAAAGAGTAAATGCAGGACAGGGATTTGGTTCTAGCCATCAGTTGTTTACTGTATTTTTGAGATGTGGGTAATGCACTCAAAAATGGAGACAGACGAACTTGAGCTTGCAGAGGCGGGGTTAAGCGGATTAAAATGATTGAAGAAGTACTGCATATGTTGTTCACAATAAGATCAATAACGTGCATTTAGATGTGATAAAATAGGGTGACCTTTCATTTCATGCCAACTTGAACATTGAGTGAACTGCTCACCTCATTGGCGTTGTTGAATCAGCAATGCTAGTTAGGGCCCAAGCCCTGAAAGGGCAAAGACCCTATTGTTTTCCTTAGGAAACCTTTTTTAAAAAATGTTCTATCGACTATTCTGGCACTTTTGGGGCCCTTAACATGCTCAAAAACTCTTGAAACTTTGCACACGGGTCAGAACCCGCGGCCATCAGTGCCGGGCTGAAGCTGGTACCTGGGCGTGGCAGGGCGGATCGTCAGCGCCCCCTGGAACGGGGTCCGAACACTTGGTCCATAACTCAAACACGCTTGTATTTAATAATATGAAACTCTGTACACATGTAGATCTCATCGTTTCATCTATGCCTCACACTCTTACTTTTTACCCCAGCCCAAACAGGAACTCGGGTTGTTTGGAAAACGCATGCAATGGAATTTGAAATACTCCTCCTAGAGAATTCAAACACACGGCACGAAACTCGGTCAGCATGAAGTCAAGACATTGAGGATGAAAATGTGCGAGGGGATTTTTGATATCTCGAACGGTTTGGCTGTGGCGAGGAAACGAAATTATGCCGTGAAAAGAGAAACAGGAAGTGTGTTATAACTTCTTTATACATTAACTAATCTAGGTGAAACTTCAGCAGTGCGTTTATTGTAAGAGGCTGGTCACATGGATGTGATTATTGTGAGTCAAATTTATAGCGCCACCAACTGGCAGCAGGAAGTGTGTCACTTTTAAAATGCTTTGAAATAACCCTCTTATTTTTACCCGATTTGCTTCAAACTTTATGTGTATAATGTAAACACACGGCAGATATTGACCTGTGAAAAGATTATTGATATCTTAGATACTGTTGCCGTGGCAATGCATCAAACTTTAATATTCTTGTTTGATGCTTTTGAGACTTTTAGCATGCTTGAAATTCCATAAAACTCGACAGACACATTACATTTCTTAGCCAGTAGACATGTGCAAAGTTTCAGAAATGGACGTGGTGAGGGCTCAGTAGCGCCACCTTTTGTCAAAAATGGGGGGATTAGTTTTATCTACAGTTACAAAATCGGTATGTATATTGTTCTCCTCGAGCCAGACAACTTTCTAATTTACAATTATTAGTTCTGACCAAAAGAAATTCAGATATTTTGGATTGAATATTGTGAGCCTCTCTCTGAGCCTACGTCTCTGTATGGCAGTCCCTTTTAACATTTAAAAGCTAAGTTTGACTATCCGGAATTAACATTGTAGATATCAACAACGACTTTCTGACTAGTCGTAATTACATTTTGGATAGTTTGTATTATCATTTAAGATATCTCTAACGTAATTGTGACTAGTCAAAACGACAGATAGACATATCTGTAATTCAGTTTTGACGAGGCATAATTCACTAGTATATCTACAACGCCATATTTACTAGTCATAATTCCAGTTACAGATCTCTACAACGTCATTTCACCTAGTCAAAACTTAATTTAGTATTTCTGAAAAGGAACATATAGATATCTTGAATTGAGGTTAATTAAAGATGTCTTGAATTGGAGATATGACTAGTCAGAATCAAATTGTAAATATCTCAAACTGGAATTACAGTTGCATTATTCACATAGTGGATATTTCCAACTGAATTGTAGATATCTGTAATGATAAACCCCATACAAATGAATGGCAAAGTGATGTCATTTTTCCTAGGAAGAATGTCTTTGTGGATATCCGAAAGGACAATAATGGATAGAAAGAATGTAGTTTCGGATATCTGTAATGTTCTTTTTGACTAGGCAAAACTGGATTACAGATATCTACAACACATATCCAGTCTAGCTGTTAAATGTTAAAATTGCTTGCCATATAATTCGGTGCCTGTGACTGTCTGTGTGCTTGTGTGTGTGCGTGTGTTTAGGGGGAGGGTGGCTAGATTCCATTTCACTGCTGTGTGGTTTGGCCTGCATTAAAAAAGAAAATAAATGTCTTAAGCCTTGTATTTTTAAATAGGTTTTTATTAATAAAGTAAAGGCATTTAACCTATTTAATTGTAGTGCATAGACAATAGTTTTATATAATTAGTTTATTAATTAAATATATTTGGAATATTTGGTCCATAAATCAAACACAATTGCATGCAATAATATGAAACTTGGTACACATATACACCTCATCGGGCCAAACAACTTTCGTGCTCTAAGTTTTAAGACAGCCCAACAGGAAGTCGTCTATTTTGTCTGAATGTGGATGTTTTTTTCTGTCGATATTGGAACGTGACGTGAGTGAAGTACAAAGCCAATAATAAAGAAACGTTTAGCATCCAAATACATCGCAAATGTTAAAACAGTTCGATTCGAATGAGATGGTAATGTGAGCCCAACACAGTGCACTTTCACTTTAAATTATTTGGTGATTAATAGTTTATAGTTTTTTTTTTTTAATTCTTGATCTGTTCTGAATATCATTAAATTTAAATTATTTCTTGTGGATGATTTTGAGTGTATCATAAAAAGCAAAATAAATCTCTCATTTTAGTGATTCCCTAGTTATTTTTTTTATTTCATTATTTTTTTTATTTTTTTCATTGTTTTAATCAGGTAAGGCAAGTAATATTCTCTGATATATATATATATATATATATATATATGAATATATATATATATATATATAATATATATGAATATATATATATATATATATATATATATAATATATATAATATATATGAATATATATATATATATATATATATATATATATATATATATATATATATATATATATATATAATAGTTTATCATTAAGATTAGCCAGTACTGAATTTGTTGTAGAACACATTTTTTTTTTATGTTTCATTCACTTCATTTTATTCTGTGAGTATTATTTTTTCTTAAGATGATTTGAATGAATCCAGCCACTGTTCACTTTTTCTTTCTGCAGTATTGGCACTGGTTTTTTCATTTGAGTATCTCTCGCTGTCTGTAAAGGAAGATGCTGACGCAGACATATAGCCATGTGTCTCCTCTTATGCTGAATCAGCACATTTTACACACAGTCATTTTTTTCTAACACAGACATAGAGCCATGAAGTGAGTTTGTTATGAATGGGGTGAATTTGTTTGTTTGGGTCAGATAAACATATTCTTTAACTTCAGCCCATTTTTAAAACCGCATTGCGTGAAAAGCAATCTTTGCTTTTTAAGTGTGGCTAAATCATGTCTTCTTTTTACATTTACATTTACATTCTTAATCAGTATTTTTTTTGTCCTGGAAAAATATATAAACAGTCTTGTCTGTCTGATAGCAGTGGAAGTTACTGAACTTTAACTTTAGTTCCTCTTTGTGTCTTTATGCAGAACTCAATGAACTTGCCTCCAGACAAAGCAAGATTACTACGGCAGTACGACAATGAGAAGAAATGGGAACTCATTTGCGATCAGGTAAGACAGTACATTCTTTCTCTTACATCCTCCATTCTCCCAGTCAATCTAATAATAGTCATTGGGGTCTAAAACATCAGATTTTTGTTTTCAAAATATCTTCTTTTGTACACACAGAAGGAAAAATAAACGTATATACAGATTTGGAAGAACATAAGTAAATGATGACAGAATTTTAACTTGGTACCACACTCTGGTGATATTGTTTGCCATGGAAACAATTCCATGGGTCCCAGTCATGTATTTTAGATTTTACCATGCATTTCAGTGAGACAACTGTGGGCAATCTATTCTACAGTGAGTCATTGTTTGTCCATTAGGTGACCTTGTGTCCCTGCAGACATAACATATGGTCTTTATCTTGTCCTCGACTTGTCTAGCTGCTGTTGTTGTTGCTTTTTTCATAGACTCATTGTTAATACTCATCCCAAACTGTGTCCATCCCATCCAACCAGTGATATTGACAAAGGTTGTGAACTCTTACAGGCCATCATGTGAACCCACTGATAATCTATCATTGGACACTGCCTTGTTGAGATCACATGAAATGTAAATGACATGTGCATGTGACATGACATGTCATGTACATGTAAATTACATGTAAACCTGATTTTTTTTTTTTTTGGTCCCCACAAGGCAAACAGCTTATTATAAGCTGTTTTCCTTGTGGGGACCAAAAAAAAAAAAAAAAAAAATCGCCACAAGTACAATGATTTTGAATATTTCCCTATAACGTAGAGTATACCTGAACCACACACACATCACAGACTGGCCACATATTAAATGTCTGTGGCTGATTTGTTGTTTATGTGTGTGTGTGTGTGTGTGTGTAAGGGCCTTGTGTTGTTTTGAGCAGAACTAGGTCTCTTCCTCTTTCCTGTTATGCACTGCTGTTGATTGGCTGTTGCCAAGGACAACATCCAAATGAGTCAATTCAAGTTTAACAGTATGGATTGTTTTAAAGTGGCTTTACAGTGATAATAGAAATGACCTAAACAGATTGTTTAGGGTTTACCACAGCTCTAGGATAAAGTTATTGTCCAGCTAAAGATAGTCTTGATTTAATCACTTCCTTTGCAAAGATCATTAGTTATTAACCCTTATGCTGCATTAGGGACATTTTTGGTATTTTGCAGTTTAATTTCTTTGACCATTTTGGCTGTTTTAATGCAAATGGTATGAAATTTGGCAAAATTGTCACTTTTTGGATACATGTAAAAAATGTGATCCCATTTTGCAAAATATGTATAACACACACTGTGTAGATCAAATAGTAACACTCACCACCATAAAGACCAAAAATGGCCCATTGAAACCCATTAAAATGTTGTTTAAATCCGAGGCTGTCAGTAATACATGAAACATGATTTTTGCCCAAACATCCTTTCATTTTGAAGCAAAAGCATTATATTTGCATTATATAGTGTATTCCACCAGATGATGTCACTACATATTTATTCCCTATGGGTGGAAATGCACCTTATTTTAGGCAATAGGCAATGTTTAATAGGTGGCCATTTTTGGTCTCTAACGCGCTATGTGGGATTTTTTGCAAAGTGGGACTGTGATAATCCAAATCTAAAGTTTTCTCTTTGCATTTAGTTTATTGAAAATAATTGAATTTTTGTGTTTTTTTCTCTTATACAAATCGATGGTTTTGCAAACAAAACTGGTAATTAAAGGATTAAAATCCTGAAATTGAATACATTTTTGGTAGTTATGATGAGGACTGATGCTGGTTAAAAGATTTAACTTGGTAAAAGTGGAAAATAATAATAATATATAATATTTTAGGCAATATTTAATATGTGGCCATTTTTGGTCCTTAATGCACTCAACGGTGTTAAAAATCTAATGCAGCACAAGGGTTAACTTAGGGACCACTTACACAACACAGTTCTAACAAAAAAAATAAATAAATAAAAAATACTTAAACGCTTCGGCCGCCCATCCGCACAAAACAGTGGCTAGTGTCTCAAGAACGCACTCCCTGAAATAGGTTTGAAGGGGCAAATGATTATCCGTTTTCTCTGCGCAAACCTCAAAAACGCAAACACTTGAAAATGCAGACGGCGTGCACATGTGCATCACGTGTTCAGTCGATATGTATGTGCATTTTAATTGTGCAGGCGTGTAGTCCTTATTCACAAATTAAACCTCAACAAACTACTTGTCTGGCCTTAAAATGTATATTACATACATTTTTGTCGCGTCTGCATAGCCACGCGACCTGGAATTATTGCAACAATGTTGTATTTGTACAGAGGTAAAGAGAAGGTGGCCTTCACAGGGAAGAGTCTAGTTAACACTTTCAGGACTGCGTTGTTGTCATGTTCAGACACTTGTCCTTCATCACATCTGGATACAGCCTGGATCCGGCGGACTGTGGTAAACCTTGGGATAACCAGAGAGACTAATATTAGCGTAGACGCCATCCTTCATATGATGTACCAAGTACATCAGGATTTATGGGAAGTGTTCCCAGTCCCGGCTGATCTAAACTATGCAGCCTAACATTGAATCATAGAAGTCTATAATGTGTTATCTTTATATACGTTGTTTATCTATTAGTAACTTTGCAACTAATTCTCATTAATTTACAACTGTATGTCAGCTAACTCTTATTAGAGTTTTAGTTGACTGTAATCTTTGGGGTGTTAGGGTTCAGGTTTGTAGAATAAGTTGACATGTATTCGCAAAGTTACTTATATGTCAGTAGAATGTTTGTCACGTTTTGTGTTTTTCTGTTCATGTCTGAGTTTTGTAATTAGTTGTCATTAGCCATGTTTCCATCCACTTGTCAATCGAATTATCTGAAATTCGGTTAAAAAACTCATGCGGATAAAGCTGGTGAAAGTGTGTTTCCATCCAACGGCTTTAAAGCGAATAAAAACCTGTACGTAATGACGTCACATGCTGTTTTGCGATCAAATTGGTATATCGAATTGATTTGAGACATTTTAAGGTGTTTTCATTTATTTTCGCACTGAATCGAACAACATTCAAGCAAACTTTTGCGAACAACGTTTTGTTAGACAAAACGGATCGCGCCAGCTACCAAAAATGATCAATATTTCACAAGTTGAAGTCTAATAATGCTTATGTGCCAGCTGATAGCGACATATGAATGGGATAATGTATGCGAGGCGGTTGTTGGTTGTATTCGCTATAACAACCGCCTCGCTATATATTATCCTGCTTATTAGCCTACATATAAATCAACCAAATAAATAAATAATTTGACACAAAATATTGACTTAAAAACGAGTTTATTGATTTAAAAACGAGTATTGCTTCTGCTAAAGAAAATAGTCTGTTCCGTCTCTGAACTGCGTCCATGGCAACGGTGTGTTATACTAGCAGCGCCGCAGTCTGTTAACTAGAAATAACAGACCACATTCTACATTACAATTCAACCAAGCCACGTAAAAACAAGCAAAACTAACCTAAGAAAACAGCGACGCTATAAACATTGCTATGATGATGACGATGCACGTATGCCCGACGACAGCGGGGGTGACTGTGGTTTGGGAATGACAGCGCTCCATCAGTTCTGGGAGATCGTGGTTCACGGAAACCCTTTGGTTGAAGCATCTTTTTGCTTTGTCCACTTACATCTGTCTTTGTTGACATCCGCCATGTGTGCGCAAACAGACTGGCCGGAAATGAACTCGTCTTCTGACGTGTTGCAACCATGAAAGGGCATAAAACTTAATCGCAATTCATTATTTATTCGGCAAATAACGTTTCCATCAGCTTTTATCGCATTAGCCGTATATCGATCAAGAGAAAATCCGATGAGACCGAACGTATTTCATTTGAGTCGATTTTCATGAAATTTCATCGAATTTTACTGTTTCCATAAGGCATTTTTCATTCGATATCACTTAATTCGGATAAAAACGTGTCGATGGAAACATGGCTATAGTTCAGTTCATGTTTGCGTGATAATTTGATCCAGTTTTCCAGTGAGTCTCATTGATTTATTACTGTCACCTGTTCCTCAGTTAACTCGTTAGTCGTGTTATGTTTCGTTTCCTTGACTAGTCCCAGTGGATTTAAGCCCTGTGTTTGGTTCAGTTTGGGTTTCTGTTATTGTTGTGTTTGGATGGTTGTTCTTTTCTGTGTTTGAGTTCATTATTAAAGGAATAGTTCAGAAGTTGTTTCAAACCTGTATGAACTTCTTTCTTCTGCTGAACACAAAAGAAGATATTTAGAAGAATGTCCGTAACCAAACAGTTGATGGATCCCAGTGACTTCCATAGTATTTTGTTATTTCCTACTATGGAATCAATTAGGTCCATTAACTGTTTGGTTACAGACATTCTTCTAAATAAATGCATAAAAAAATGCCTCAGATTGTCCATTAATTTTGGATCTATCTTCAACTAACATTATTGACTTTCATTTAACTTATGTTGAGTTTAACACATCTGACAAAGATTATGGACACATGGCCAGACATGGGGACTTAATATCACACTATTGGCCAGTTGAAAGTAGTTTAGTCCGAAAGATGACTCTCTCCTAGGAGAAATTACAGGAGTGTTCTTGTGTAAAAATAATGAATATGAATAATGCAAATTTAATACTTTGTTTATTGCAAAATTAGCAGTTAGATTAAACCAGTCCAGTCAGATGGATACTTCTATGATGTCTATGAACATTTGAACTTTTGAAGCTTGAAAGTTCAGATGGGAGGGACATAAATCTCTCAGGATTCATTAAAATATCTTAACAAAAGTCGTGTGATTTTGAAAAAAAACAACAACCCAAAAACACAAGGGTGAGTAAATTATGACCCATTTTTCATTTTTTGGGAAACCGATCCCTTTAATCATCAATTTTATCAACATAAAATTGTTCTGACAACTTTTTTAAGCTAGTTGGGTCAACATTTTGGTGATGTGAAGATTGAAAGTAATTTAATTCTGTGATTTAAACTCCCACAAATTGGATAAAACCACTCCATATTCCTCAAACAACTACGATACTAGCACAAAACTAACAAGATTGTACATGAAAATCAGTAAAACCATGAACACGTCTTTTTATCTCTCTTTTCCAGGAACGATTCCAGGTGAAGAATCCTCCTCACACATATATCCACAAGTTACAGAGTTATCTTGACCCGGCCGTGACCAGAAAGGTGAGTTCTGGTCTTATTCCCTCAGTGTGGACTGGCCTGTGTGTGTGTTAAGGCTGAGATGGATGACCTCAGACACAAAATAGCTCCTGATAACTCAGTTATCTTGGCTACAGTGCTGCCCTTATTGCTACTCTACAATAGTACAGAGAGGAACAGGAGGTATTCTACTTCCTACTGGGGTAAAACTTACTTCTTGTTTGGGCAAACTTGATTCCTGTTATAGGGATCAAATGTTACACCTTGCTTTACAGCTGATTTTTGGTGCAGGGAAATTGTCAACGGGTCACAATTATGAGGAATCTGAACTCAAAACTTCCCCCAAAACAACTGTTTATTGAAAGCGAGCTGTTCTGATGTCAGAGAGATGTACTGTATGAACGCATGATGGCCCAAATTGCACGTCAACCACTTGGCCCAGTGACAGTAAAGTATAAGGAGCAAAGAGGATACGCCTAAACACCAGAGCATCTAAAGATTAGAGTAAAATGTCGTAGTCCACAACCTAGACTCACAAGATTGCAGTTTATTCTGGCCAAGAACTGCCCACTTAGTCAAGAAGTTCACCAACATGCACTGTAAAAGTGACCAACCACAGTTTGTTGGTTTATTTGCAGACCAAATTGAACATTTTCATTTATTCAAATAATGGTTACTTTAAATAAAGATTTGAACTTGAATCTCATATTTTGGTAAATCCAGTTATTAGTTCTTCATCAAAATTTTTTAAGCGCAACTTTCGACTTTCCAGTGTTAAAATGTACAGTACATCAGGTGGTATGTACTGTAAATGGATTGTTGGCGGTGTATCCTTGGAGGTCAGAGTTCCAGTACACAAGAAAAAGTGAGGGTACTTTACAGATTCAAATAGAAGTGCAACCTGCCCACTTCGACCACTGCTTATAATACCTTATTCTGATCACTAAAATGCACTTTGGTACTTATCAACAAACACAAAATCAACAGTGTTTGAGTTTAGCTGATGACTTAAGAGACCTGTTTTTGTTACTTTTTTGGGTGAAATGATGGGCATCCAAGATGTAGGTGTCTTTGTTTCCGCAGTAGTTTCAATTTTGATATTTTTCGGTCAAACCGTTCTTGTCTGTCAGTCAAATAATGGAGGTCTATGGTCACCACCTCAAAGAGCATGCACAGAGAAGTCCAAATTAAACATGATTTGAAATGTTTGTACACATTGATGGCCTAAGACACGAAACGAGCGGTTTGTGTGAGAAAACGAACAGTATTTATGTCGTTTTTACCTCTTGTGTAACCAAAGCCACGTCCAAGTGATCTAAGGGCGCGGGCGCTTTGTGGCAGTGGTTACAAAAGGTAAAAACGATATAAATAATGTTCGTTTTCTCACACAAACCGCTCGTTTCATGTCTTGGGCCATCAATGTGTACTTACATTTACGAGTCATTAAATCATGTTTAATTTGCACGCTCTTTGAGGTGGTGACCATAGACCTGCATTATATGACTGACAGACAAGAACGGTTTGACCTAAAAATATCAAAATTGAAACTACTGCGGAAACAAAGACACCTACATCTTGGATGCCCTTGAGGTAAGCTAAAACATATCAAAAATTAATTTCAAAGTGAACTATCTATTTATGGGGAAATACTTAATGATGACCTTAATTTCTAAGTCAGGGTATCCATATTCTTGTCATTTAGGGTTTTCTTAATTTAGGGGCTTGGTTGCAATGATCCCAACATTTGGCTGCTTCATCTTTCAAAAAAAAAGTTTATTTGCGAACTCTCCATTACACTCGTTTACAAAACAGTCCTCAGTCAAATGCTCAGAACACACGCATAATTCTCTGTCATGATCCGGGATCCATTTAAAAGGAAACATCAACTTGTTCCTGATGCTGGGGTCTTACTGTCAAAGTGAATGTTTATTTACTCTTCCATTTGTCCTGTTGTCAGGAGTAGCTCAAGCATGTGGAGTGTGTCAGAAACTGAACGGTGTCTGTATACTGTATCCAGTTCAGTAATTCTAATCAGATCTATTCGCTTTGATGCAGTGTGATGCAAAACTATGTTTTACAAGCTTTTTTCAAGGTAACTTCAGGTGTCTTTCCAAAAAAGGACACTTGGAGACTCCAAAAGGACACCAAATACCTAAATGATAAAATTTTATATAATTCATAAATTCACCCATAAAAAAAAAAAAATAATACAGTACAAAAGTTTTCAGAATTCAGTCTACAGTATGTGTACAGTGGAACATAGAGCTTGTTTAAATTTTAGACCATGTGGATATGCCAGAAAAATACATATTATTGGATATGCCAAAAATAATATATATACAGACTGATGCATACTTACTGTACAACTCCTGTACGTCACTGCAATCTTCTTTACCTTGATCACAATAATCCGCATCCATCTAAACATCAATAGCGAGATTTGCTTTATCCAGCCGAGAGATGTAATTAGCGTAGCATCTGGCCAGCGGTGGGATGTTTTGATGTTCTTTCAGTCTGTATTTCACACAGCGCTCTTCAGAAACAATCACAGAATATGACAGAGATTGTGTTTTAAAGCTAAACAGACACTGGAATGAATGAATAATTGACTGAAAACGTGCCGTGAATCACTATTTTCTCTGCCATCTCTGATGTAATAAGCCTGGTTTTCTTTATATTAGCACTGTTTTGGACTGATTGTTTGAACGAATTTGCTTACTCTTCATTAGATGGAAAACTTGGCGGCTTAGAATAGAAATATCCGCCTTCCAGGATCACAGGTGCTTGTGCCATTATAGATGCTCAATGTGATAAACTCCCAACTTCTATGATCATGTTCTGCGTGTCGTAAATGTGAATAATGACGTAATCACGTAATCACGCGCTTCAATTATTTTTAACACATTAAGGATTTAAAATTAATCATGTGTGTTAACGGATGGACAGCCCTAGATTAAATATTAAACGTCAGATATTATTGTTTATGTCTTTTATGTGGTTTGGACTCTGAAGGTGTTCTTGAGCTGATCTCATGGGTGTTGCAGCTGACATCCCTGAGCTCAGAGAAAGTACAGAACGAGAAAAAAAAATGGGATGGGGGATCATTTAAAGATGTGATGAAAGAGGACGAAAGACTTTAGACACACATAAAAAGAAATAGACAGTGGGAAATAGAAAGTCCCAGTGAAGGTAGATGATGAATACAATGAAAGTGAAAAAGAGAAAGAGTTATGGCTGCACGTTCTGGCCATGGCTCTTTTCTGCAGACTTGAACAATTGTTACTTTGTGTGCGCCGAGAGCTTTACGTACGGTGCATTCCACACGAGGTTTCCAGCCAATCGGATCGCAGCAGGAAGAGGGTCATTCCAGAGGGTCCTGAAGAATGTCTATGCCATTGATTCCAATCCAGGATGACCTCTCTGGAGAACTGCGTTCTTTTTCCCCTTCTCTTTCCCTCTTTCTCTCTCTCTCTCTCGCCACAGCTGGGAATGCTTAAAGTCGAGGTGGGAGCGTGAGCTCTGCACACACTCTGAAAACACACTGCACTCCACATGTGCCAAACACACCCACGCTGGGAACAACAGAGCACACACTCCCCTATTTTTTTTTCTCTATTGTTTTTATGTGTCTGTGTCTATCCGTTTCTCTTTGTCACTCTCTGTCCCAATTTGCATAGTATCCATCCTTAAAGGATTAGTTCACTTTTGAAAAAAACATTTGCTGATAATTTACTCACCCCTACGTCATCCAAGATGTCCATGTCTTTCTTTCTTCAGTCGAAAAGAAATTAAGGTTTTTGATGAAAACATTCCAGCATTTTTCTCCATATAATGCACTTCAGTGGGAATCAAACGGTTCAAGGTCTAAAAGACACTTTCAGTGCAAACTGCAAACTGTTCAAAGGGCTTTAAACGATTCCAGACGATGAATAAGGGTCTTATCAAGCGAAACGATCGCTCATTTAAAAAAACAAAAAACAAAGTTTAAGTTTTATAAGCTCAAATGCTCGCCTTGCTCTGTGACGCACATTTGTGAACTACTCCTTTAATATTAAAGATTAGAATTGATGTGTACCAAATCATAGTAGGCCTATAGCAAAGTTTGTGGTGGTTGACACAACTTTTTATAAATGTATAATGGCAAGTGAACTTATAATGAACTTTAAAAGTAAATGTAAAATGGCATTTGTTACCCATTTTATTTCTGTAATCTGACATATTCCCAATTGAAACAGGATATTTGGTTAGATGCAATTTTTTTTAGGATTTTATCCACAAGGGATTGATTGGATGATGAAATCTCTATGAGGTTTGTTGGAGAGGACAGGTTAAAAAAGAGAGAATATCACTGACAATATGATAACAAGTCAGCATTGCGTCGCTTCAAATATGTAAATAATATGAACATAATAATTTCATCAAATACACCCAAAATCAATTATTTGTGCTGTGATTGATTCTTGGGTGATTCAAAAATGGATTCTTCAAGAAATAATATAACTGGGTAAATGTAACAGAGATTCACCCAACTCAAATCTTTGCAAGTTTGGATCATAAAAAAAATGAAAAGAATGAAAGCACAGTAAATCACAAATTAGTTTAGGCCTAAGGTAATGGGTTTATTTGGTTGTTTTCTCCCTTTAGTCTCATAATAGGGCTGAGTCCAAACTGTGGGCCCACTTTTGTTCTCTGTAGCCATGGTTACAGTGGCTTTGTGGCCAACCCAATCACGTGTCAGGTGAAATGCATGTGAAAATGTCATCCAATGAGAGGGACACGCTGCTTTTACCAGCTGAACGGGATATGCTGCCAAATCTTAACTCAAAACTGATGCTGCAGTTTTGCAACACTAATAAGACGGCAGCCATGACGATGCCAGGCATTAATAATCAATCCGATTCACTGATGTCAGACACTGAAATTATTGCATCAAAGGGTGTTAGAGAGGGAATGAGAGAAAAAGAGGAAGGGATTTAGACAGCAACAGATAAAAGGAGAGCTAAGACACCCAATTCTAATACTACACTCTAAAAAATGCTGGGTTGTTTTAACCCAATTTTGGGTCAAATATGGACAAACCCGAAATGTTGGGTTAAAAATGTAATGTAAAAATTTAACCCAACGGCTGGGTTAGTCCATATTTGACCCAAAGTTGGGTTAAAACAACCCAGCATTTTTTAGAGTGTATGTATTGCAAGTATGTTGTTTTGATTAAGCAAAATAATATTCCAATACTTGGACCTGTTACGTTGCCATAACACTTTGTCTTGATAACACACACCCATCTGTTGCATAGCACTGTTTACAATTAAGCATAAAGCTAAATCCATTAACTTAAATTCATTTGTTATCTTAAATGAAAATGTTACAACTTAACAATGAAATGTTGTCACCAATTGCCAATCTCTCCTATTTCTTTTAACCTCTCCATTCCCAAAAAAAATTCACAGAGACGCATTTTCACCATCCAATCATCTTGGCAGATCTGAGCACAGTTTGAGATATTCAGTACATTTACATAGACAACAACACTCCGATATTAAGGTGATTGAGACAATACTCTGATTAAGAAACTACCATGTATACTGGGATTTAACAACTACACAATAATATCATTTTTTTTCAGTGTTGACCTGAGCGACTTTTTCTTATTTTGATACCCAGATAGCAAACTGACATTGAATCAACGTGGAAATATGACATCGAAACAACGTTGATCTGACATTGTTTTGCTCATCGAATTAACGTTGAACCAACGTCAGATGCGTCATTCTTTCAAAACTAACGGAAAATCAACTTGAAATCAACGCGTTGTTTCAACGTTATGAAAGCAAACCAATTTTCGATTTCATTTAGCTTTGAAGAATGCCGCGTCTGACGTTGGTTCAACGTTAATTCGATGAGCAAATCAACGTTGTTTCAATGTCATGAGAGACGTCGTTTCCACGTTGATTCAATGTCAGTTTGCTATCTGGGTATTCATTTAATCCCGTTGTTGTCTAGGACAACATGGCATCATGACTTTGCGTAAACATACACGCCACCTTCAAGTCAAGTATATATGCATTTTGAGCTATCCGCGTGTATGTCCACGGCGTAACAAACCGTCATCTTTCGCGTGCATGTCTACGCCGTTAAATGTCCGAGTGATTCCACGTGTATGTACACGCCGTTAAATGTCCGAGCGGAACGAAGCAAAATGTAGATCTACATCTGGGGAGCGATATTTTTTTTTCCTAGGATGGTAGGGGAAGACTCATAAATGCTATTAACCCCAGTGACGGGTAGGTTTAGGGAAGGCTAGGGGTAGGACATATATTTATATATACGGTAATGCAACGTTAAGTCAACGGCATTGATAAACACGCTGAAAAGCGATTATGTGTGTTGATAGCACGGAAAAAATGGAAATACATACATACGCCAGTTCATGAGATCAGTTTGTCTAGGATAATCAAGTAGGGCTGGGTATTGAGACAAATTTCACAATTCGATTCGATTTCGATTCACAAGCTTGCAATTCGATTCGATTTCGATTACGATTCGATTCAATATCGATTATTTTGGATATCAGTTACAATAAATGGCCATTTTTCTCAAGGGAATCAAATCTCTTAAATGCTGTAAACTATGGGAGTCTAGTTGTAGCCTATAGACTTCATTAGCCTAATATGAAGGTAATAATGAACTGTTTTGTAGCATTGATTCATTTACAAGCTGTTTAACTGACGTCTTTCCACGGTTGAAACGCTGATTGAGTGAATCAATGTGACATGATACGGATTTAGATAAGTTGTACTCTATCTTTAACACACTTTCAGATGCTCATTCATGTTTATTTCGCGCTGTAACTGGTATTATTTACCCGGAAGAGAGATCAGCGCTGCTGTTTCTCTTGAGCTGCGCCAGAGCGATCTCACGCCACAGCGCCAAAACACTATTTATGAATAGTTATTATTGAATTTGTTATTAATAATTATTGAATTTGTAAAGAAAATGGACGTAATTTGAAAATTGAGACTTTGTTTTATATCAATAGTAACAAAGGACAAAGATTATTGCGATTTTTTTGGATGCGCGCAGCCGCGATACAATGTTCCATTCATTCAAATGAAACAGGATGACTAATCGATTCTTGAGATTTAAGAATCGATATCGGTTCGTAAAAATGAGAATCGATTTATATCGAGAAACCGATATTTATTACGCAGTCCTATAATCAAGTACCTAATGCCCAGTACACATTATATGATTTTGGGCTGTCCCAGATAAAAGATGACCAATTGTGTTGACGGCTCATAAACGGTGGTCTTATGTCTTACAGTGGGAGAGGTTCAAAAACGTCATTGTGTCATTGCGACTTTAGTCGTCATAGTCATTGCGACTAAAATAGCCTGTGATAATTTTCTGAAAGGGTCATAAATTTAGCATTTCATCATCTCACAGTGTGTTTGCAGCTACGACCTTCATCTATCTTTTATTGTCTAGCCAATAAAAATGCAACATGTAATGGTGTATTAATCACCGAAACATGGTGCTAAATCTAAAACCACTTACCTTAAGATCCATTTGGAAATTGGCAAGCCAAGTTGGCGTCTTTTCCCAATCCATGACCACGTCCATATTCTCCTCCTTTGACTCCTTTTTTCACACAAAACCGCAATTGCCAAACTGCGATTCATCTTGCTCTATTTGTTTACCACACATGCTAACGTTTTATTCTTCTATACTACCGTGCACCGTAGCCTACGACACACTTACATGCCGTACCCAAGTTTATTAGATGCATTTCATACAGTGGGATTTGTAATGATCTTATGGGATTGCTGATTCACAGCGGGCATAATAGATAAACGCTGCAATAAAGACTTTTTTTGTTCTGTCTTCTGCAGAAGTTCAGGAGGAGAGTTCAGGAGTCGACGCAGGTCCTGCGGGAGCTGGAAATCTCATTACGAACCAATCACATCGGGTGAGTTCATCAGTGTGCATGTGTGTTCATTAAATACTGCTCACACTCGAGCTGTGATCACTGTTCTGAGTTACACAGACACTTTCCTGAGTCCTGAAGCGAAACTGTGGCGCTACAAAAGACCTAATGTAATATGAATTCAAGCTGAAATAATGGTGTTTTGTCTGAAGCAGTACATGCACCAGCCAAATATTCTTGACTGGACTTGTCATATTTCTGCCCAGTGAGTTTCACAAGAATGCCAGCCGATAGGTTTTTGCAAGAATCTTTACACAACCTAATCAGGACTATTCTTATCAGTGATGTTGGGTTTTTGAACGAATTGAACCCGGTTCAAAGGAAATCTTACAAGTACTCTGAAAATACTCATGCTTACTGAACACTACAATGCATATGACCACTTTATAAAGTACACTTGTCAAACTGCTCATTAACATAAATATCTAATCAGCCAATCACAAGGCAGCAACTCAATCTGTTTAGTCACAAGGTGTGTTCGACTGACAGTGCCATGCAGACCAGATCAGTGTAGGATCCAAACTCTGTCCTGGAGGGCCACTGTCCTTTTTACTGGCCACAGTTTTACTCCAACTTGCCCTAAATGATTAGTTCACTTCAGAAGGAAAGTTTCCTGATAATTTACTCACACCCACATCATCCAAGATGCTCACGTCTTTCTTTCTTCCGTTGGAAACAAATTAAGGTTTTTGAGAAAAACATTCCAGGATTTTTACATATAGTGGACTTCAGTGGGGTACAACCAGGGTACAATGGGTTGAAGGTCCAAATTGCAGTTTCAAAAGGCTCTACACGATCCCAGTCGAGAAATAATACTCTTATCTAGTGAAACAATCTGTAATTTTCTAAAAAGAATAAACATTTATACACTTTTTAACCACAAAAGCTTGTCTTGCACTGGGATGCGCGGCACACGTGATGTTGGTGGATGTACTGATCTAGTGATTACAAACCGAATGTGCAAAGACTAAGTCAAACGCCATTTCCAAAAAAAAAAAAAAAAAAAAAAAAAGGAAAACAACAATGTCTGGCGATTTTGAAGTTGAAGGAGAAAAAGAGATGGAGTTTTTTGCCCTACCCTACCTATTTGAACCTGAATACGCGTGACCTTTCAATGTGATTGCGTACTGCATGGTGCATCGCAGTGCAAGATGTGCATTTGTGGTTAAAAAGTATATATAAATATATATATATATATATATAAAAAATAATATATTATAAAATGACAGATCGTTTCACCAGATAAGACCCTTATTCTTCGGCTGGGATCGTGTAGAGCCCTTAGAAACTGCATTGAAACTGCAGTTTGTACCTTTAATCCACTGGACCCCATTGAAGTCCACTATATGGAGATTGAAAAATCCTGGAATGTTTTCCTCAAAAACCTTAATTTCTTTTCAAATTAAGAACTTCTTGGATGATATGGGGTGAGTAAATGATCAGGAAAATGTTATTCTAAAGTGAATTAATCCTCTAACACACCTGCCTGAAAGTTTTGAGAATGTCTAGTAAGACCTTGATTTGCTGGTTCAGGTGTGTTTAACTCTGCAGGACAGGGCCCTCCAGGAGCAGGATTAAACACATCTGGTGACATCTAAATACAGCGAGAGCTATTCAAAAGCATACACAACCGTCTGCTTTCTAATACTTTGATGCTATACACTGATCAGTCTCAACAGCGCCAGTAAGTCAAACATACCTATTGTACATTCAATTTCAAACTGAGCATCAGAATGGGGAATTGACTTTGAACGTGGCATGGTTGTTGGCGCCAGACGGGCTGGTCTATCAGAGTATTTCAGAAACTGCTGATCTACTGGGATTTTCACACACCATCTTTAGGGTTTACAGAGAATGGTCTGAAAAACAGAAAATATCCAGTGATTGGCAGTTCTGTGGGTGAAAATACCTTGTTGATAACAGAGGTCGGAGGAGAATGGCCAGACTGGTTCAAGTAGATAGAAAGGCAATGGTGACCACTCGTTACAACTGAGGTCTTCAGGTGGCACTGATAGAGACACAGAATGCGATCACACATGGCTCAATGGTTAAAGGAGATACAGGTTCATAACTCACTATAGACACAAATAAGCTGCAAAACAATTTGTGCTACAAACCAGTGTGATTACCATAATAAATTAAACTAATGGGTAAATATTAATTTTGGAATATCAAGCCAATGAACCAACTCTACTGCTAAATTAACTGGAGGTGGCTAGCCCTGGAAGCCTCGCACATTCGGGGTAAAAATGGCAGCTTTTCAAACCTATCCTGGAGGAAGCCGATGATGATCCGCCAGTGTTTTCAAAGTCTTAGAGCAGTTTGGTTCACAGTAACTCCGTCTCTGCATCTGCTCTGAGTTTGCGTCACTTTAACACGCATTTGGGACCATAGCATTGGCCAACCATCTTCCCCAAATTGCAATGGGAAGCGCTAATTAACAAAAGAGAAGCTTTAGGGCTCCCTGTGGTTTTCCACCAAAAAAACAAACAAAAACAAAACAATTATGGTTAATGTTTGAAAACCTTTACCCTTAAACAGTAAGAGTGGTCCGCAAAAAAAATTATCCACAAAAAATAATTTAAAGGTGCATGTGTAATAATTTTGAATATCTATGAGTATTTATTAACATAAATGCAATATGACATCCATATCTATGTTTCCAGTGGTGTTTAAAGAACTTACTTAATATTCTGTAATGTTTTTATTACCTTAGAATGAGACATTTATATCTACATTACTGCCGGCACCCTCTTCTATGAAGGTCGAAACGTTATGACGTAATGTGCCGACAGCAAACAAACAGCGCTACGGAACGCTTTTCGTTCATACCTTGAAAGAGAAGCAGCAGAAAGCTAGAAGCTAGCCATAGACACCTTGAGTAGTGACTTTTCCTTGTCAGTGGTGTAAAATGTAGTTGTATTGTTTCATTTACATTTTATCCAAAGTGACTTACAATTGCTATATATCAGAGGTCGCACGCCTCTGGAGCAACTAGGGGATAAGTGTCTTGCTCAGGGACACATTGGTTTCTCACAGTGGATTCGAACCAAGGTCTCTCACAGCAAAGGCATGTAAGACATCCACTGTGCCATCACCATCCCATTAATGATTCATGTAAGTTCTTCTCCCTCGCTGTGTTATGGCTTTGCTATGTGGGGATAAATGTGCTGGTTACGTTCGTGAGACAGGTGATTAGTTTTCTTGTCATTGACCGTAAAACAGTATGTTACAGGAATCACCAACCTGTCGATCGCGGTCGACAATTCGATCTTGGAAGCATTTTAAGTCGATAGTGTTTTCAAAATCAGAAAAAAGAGCCTGTTGTTAGCCAGCTAAACTTTTACTACCCTGGGGTGTGTTTCCCGTACAACAACGTAGTTTTGTAATTCACTACCATAGTACGATGCATCGTTGGAAAAATCAACTAGCTAGTCACAAATGTTTCCCGAAACCCACTGTCGCAAAGTATTGTTCAACCATGTTTGTTTCGCATGTGGTGGAGTAATAATACTTTTAATGAAACTGTTTGAGATCCAATTAACGCTGGATTTGTTTTATATAAATTACAGACATGTCATCTGAGGAATATTTCTAATTGTTCTCAGTTGTTTTGCTTTATTACCAGACTCAATATTTGGCTCGTTCTTACATAGCAGAGCACGTTCACACATGCGCACTCTTCAAACACGTTACTTCCAATGTTTTGACAAACTAAAAGACGTAAATTCCATTTGTATTTATTCTAAATAAAAGACACCGGTTGTACTGAATGTCAGCTTGCTTATTTTGCTCAAGATAAGGATTCATTACCTCCAAATGTCATGCAATATAGAAATGATGCCTCTAACCACAGGTCGAGAGCTGTCATTCAAACCACACAACTTTGCGATGCTGTTTGCGAATGTTCGTTGGAACGATGGTTTCGGGATACACCGACTCGTTGAACTATGCTGATAATGACGGAACATGCGACCATAGTTGGCAAACGATGCTTTCGGGAAATGCCCCCCTGTTTGGAAAATATATAGTTGCATAGTTTCATGTGGTTCTTCTCCCTCGCTGTATTATGGGTTTGCTATGTGTGGAGAAATGTGCTGGTTACGTTTGTGACACAATCAGCTGATTTATATTATTATATTATATGTTAAGACCATTGATCCTCACCTGACTATGGCTTTGTAAACTTTATCCATGATGTGGTTTATAATGGACTGTAGTAGAGAAACAGTGACAATGTTACACACTCTTGGCTTAATCTGACTATTCTCTGCTGTCTCAGACGATGATTTGTTTGTCCCGTTTTAGCCACTGTAGCGTCTTGGAAAGGGAGGGGTGGACAGTAGGGATGCACGATATAGGATTTTGGCCGATATTCAATATGCCGATATTTTCAAACTAAATTTGCCCGATGCCGATACCGATACCGATATATTTGTATTTTTTTAAGTGCAAAAAATGCTTAAAGCTTCTATTAAAGTTCTCAGTCAAGAGCAGTGAGTGATTTCCTCTGTGTTTTGTTGTTTTATTAATATTAACCCAAAAAATTTAATTGTCATCATTTATAACTCTCTCAAGTTTCTTTCTTCTGTTGAAATTATAAAAGTTATTTGGAAGACTGAGGCTAACCAAACAGTTGCTGTACTCCAGTGACTTCCATAGTATATTTAAGCACAAGAAAGAAATGAATACAGGTTTGGAACAACATTAGAGTGAGTAAATAATGACAGAATTTTTATTTCTGGGTGCAGGATATGCGGCAGCTCTTTAAGAACTCTTTAAGTCTTTTTAAGAACTGCACTTGATGCGTCTAATATACACGCATTTGACAAGGAGATTTTCTCTGTTTGCTTTCACTTTAGACATAACCAACTTTGTTTATGTAAACCTTGTGCGTATTTGACAGTATCAGCGCAATAAGACTCGGAAGATTAGTCCAGTATGCAGGCGCTGTGACAGGCTTTTAGTTCCTGCGTGTCGGGTGAACGCGCTCAGAAAAGCGGATGTTAGAACAGCGCATCAGCACAGCACGTGAATGATATGTTTACCTAGCAAGACTTTGACGCACATGCAAATAATGAACTTTTGTGAATTGCGGTGTCCCGTGAGTGTAAAGGGGGTTGTACACCGGACGAGAAGCGCCGCGCCGCGTCTAGGACAACTCCAGGTAGCTATCGCACACCGGACCGAACGTGCACTTTCTCATCAGTGTATGGCCAGCAATATTGTTATGTTTAATGACATGAAATGATGAAGATAATAATGTCTGTTCTATGTTATGATTGCTACTATATATACTTGCTATATACTATATATAATTGTTGCCGAGTCTGCAGTCTGAAAACTTTACCTCAGCATCCGTTAACTCAATGAATTGAGAATCTCACCTGAAAATCCAATAACATCAGCTATTGTCATTCAAGCAGCTGATTTCTGTAAGTGAATGCGAAACTAAATGTATATTGCAGCATAGGGCGAAGTCAGGATCTCTCCCTCTACGTTTACGTTACATGTGACTCTCTGCGTTTACATGTGATGTGATGTGAATGTACGTCGCGTTGTACAGTATGTTGAGATGAAGGCGCCAGAATTGAACTGATAGAATGCACGATAGCCTACTATAATTTTTCTTCAAAAGCAGATCGTGGAGAGATTTTAATCGTCCACGATCAAAAACAGTGAGACGCACGCACACCCCTAGTTGGAAGTTTAAGTTGCTGGCGCTCATGCTTCGTTCGTGGTCGTCACGCGCGCATAGGAAACACACCACCAATCGGCAAGGCTCATCGGCAGAAATATTCATATCTATATTCAAAATGATGGTCATTTTAAGCTTTTATCGGCCGATACCGATGTTGTCCCGATATCATCGTGCATCCCTAGTGAACAGTGGGCTGAGCCATTAGTAAGACCTTGATTAGCCATTTCATTATATATATATATATATATATATATATATATATATTTCATCTGGAGTTACGCAAAGGAAGTTTTTAGTTATGTGATATATTTTGGATATTATGAGTTGTATCTCCCAGGATACGTTACGTAAAGCCAAAGTCATCATTATTTCTATGATTTACTTGATGCAAAAAAAATAAATAAAAATAAATTATATGCAAAATATTCTAAAATTGAGACATCTAAATGTATTCTCATTTTTTCACTGCTAAACAGTCAATCTTCAACCTCAGGGTTGAGCAACTCTAACCCTTGAGCTCCACTGTCCTGCTGAGTTTTAGCTCCATTCCTACTCTAGCATTTATTTACTGTTTAATTTATGACACAACAGTAATCTATGACACAACATAACATTTTTATATGTAATCCTGAAGATTTGGGTTAGATTTGATCTGGTTTGGAGAAAAAATTTTAGAAAAAAAAAAAAAAAAAAAAAGTCTTCCAGGAGTAGGGTTGAACACCCCTGTCCTACCATACAATGAGCTGTGTAAAAAATATCTAGTTAAAAATGCAAAGATGTATTTAACTAAATACTGAATAATAATATTAGTTTTACATTTAAATATTTACATTTGCTCCCCCTTGAGTGATCTCTACCAAAGGCACTTGCTTTCAATCTCAGTACCTTCTGAGATTTTGTGAGTTATGAAAATCACACACCCAGTTGCATGCTGGGAACTAGAATTTACAGGAAGTGGAAAGGCTGACGGAAGTCAGCGAGGTCAGGAAAATGTCACAACAGGAAAATGGGAAGATTTGATATTCCAGTAGCAAACAACACACACTCTTTCCTTGTCATTCCCTAAATGACTGTTATTGTGGTTTCATTATTTCAAGGGCAGTCCAGACCAGACAAACATACTCCCAGAGCAGATAGACATACTGTACAGAGATTATAGCTACCATATGCTACTAAACTAGATTACATAAATGATCTAGCTAATCTAGATAAGGCAGTATATCTGCTCACAGAGGGTTCGACAGACAGAACGCTACCACGTAACGCTATCTTGTAACAGAACGCTACCACAAGAGATTCACATCTGTTCCTCATTTTACAATGTTTCCACCTTTTGTACTGTATATAATGTTAAAGTTATATTTTAAGAGATAGCGTACAGCCGGCTCAATTAACGAAAAATACCAATATTGTGCCTTGTCATGCCATTGAATGAAGCTTTTCCAGAATTATGTAATAAATAGGTGAAAAGACCTTAAATGTGAAGAATGTCGTTTAATGGCACCTATCGGAAGTACGAAAATTAAGCATATTTCAAACAACCTTACAAACGGCATTTTGAGCGTAACTTATTCGCAAACATGGGTGCATGTGAAGGCGTGTCTTAAAAGTTAAAAATAGGATACTTTCAATGAAATGTCAACATATTAGGGATACTTTTAGATGTGTTGCTACGTGTCATAAGTGAGCAACTAACTAGTCTAAAACTCTGTGTAGAGCGAACGAGAGTAATAAACCCATCAAATATATCTGCAATAGGAGGATTTTTTATATATATATTTTTTGGCTTTAAAATTGAGGTTTATACACTGGACACATCAAAGTAAACATTATAGCAGCGGCACATTTGTCTTTCTGAACTGGTGCATGGTGATGCTGTAAGGCAGTAGTTCTCAACCCTGGTTCTGATGCCTGGTCCTGATCTATAAAGAGTAAAATGAACGCGGAAGCAATGTTGTAGTTAATGAAATAAAGTATATTTACTTTTCAAGTGAGGATTGACCATTAGTGAGGACACCTGTGGTCAACAAGCAGAATCACTGAAGATAAGACTGAAAAACAGCAAGAACTGAAAAAGATAAGAGACAAGCAGAAACACAACTACAACGACTCACAGCCTCAGAAAAAAACAATATTATCTCACTAGAGGACGCTTAAACAACTCCACAAAAAGCATTGCCATGTTAACTATTACAAACCAGTTTGGCTTAATTTGTTTTATATGGTACATGCACACAAGTGCTTGACGTCGGTTTGAAGTCACCATTGTGGTGATTAGTGTTCTCTTTAGCGGCACTTGGTCCTTGATTGGACATTCATTGGTTAAATTAATTTGTTCGGCAATTGTTGAAAGTGCATGCATTTTGTCACAGTTATCTGGACTCATTCATCTTTAGTTTCACTTTCATGGACTCTCATGCTGAGTCTCAATTTTTAACACTTTTTACTCGTGTTTGTAGTCCCTCTTCCAAAATGCAATGGATTGTGGGCAATATTAGCTTTTATAGTGCGCACGGACCACACTTCGAAAATCCACCGGAAATAGTAGATCATGCGGTGACTTCCTTACCTTTACTCTATGTTTGTCTGTTGTTGTTGTTGTTGTGTGTGTGACTCATCGGAGTTCCTAAATGAGCAGGAAAGTCTTTAAAAAAAAGCAACTTTCAGTTTTTAAATTTAATTATCAAGTAGTTATTAACTGTAAGAAAGAGCTCTTCGTATAACCCCTGTTATTGACCAAACTAAGACCAGACCATAACCAAACTGCTAATGGTTTTTTGTTTTTCTTTCTTTGTGTACGGATCCTTTGAAACAGGAGACGAATACGTTTATCCTTTGAAACTTTGTACTAGTTTAAATGTGTTCTTTGTTATTCTAAACTCCAGATGACCATGATTAACATAATCATGTTTAAAACTACTAAAATGTTTAGTTCTACTTTTAAAAGAGGTAGCAAAAGAAATTACAAAGTTATTATATATTACAATAAATCATGTTTTAATATTATATTGTTTTTCATTACATGTGTAAAAAAATAACATGTAAGCAAAAAAAAAATGTTGTCCCCAAAATATTGCTTGCATACTCAAACTCAACCCCGCAAAACCATGCTGGTGAACCAGCTTTACGAACTCTATTTCCCTTGAGAACAGCGTGGGGGTCATTTACCCTTTTGGGGGAGATAAACCTGTGAATCTCACACTAACGTCGGTTGGAATTATGGAAATTTGTTGCATGTTTGTCCAGCAAGTAAGACTGGAATTACTGACGAGTGACAACTAGTTTTAGGCAGTTCAGATTTGGTTCTTTATTTTGGAAACAACAACTGATCAACAATAACTCTATTTATTGTGGACTTTGATCTTTGCAGACGTTTTACATTCACAAACAGCTACCACTATAACACACTACATGAAAGGTAATATCTAAAAAAAAAAAAAAAAAAAGCACAATAGAGGCACTTTCACAATATGATCATGTGAGCTAGTTTCAAATTCCATAGTTGCCTCATACTGCTCCTAACTTACAGATAACTACATGAACTCTTACGGTATGAGTCAAACTGCTTATTAGAAAATGAAAAGAAATAGAGACATAAGTACTTTTTAATTCAGAATTCTATTATCACAAATGAAAGGTTTTCAGGTTCTGGCCTACTTTTTACTGGCAAAAAAAGGAGGTGAAAACCAGCTTTTGATTATTTCTGGGATCCTTGTGGTCTTTGTCGGTGTGTATGTGTGGGATGTCTCTGCTTGTCTTTGAAGTATCTCTCATTGCTGTAGCTCTGAGGGAGAAATCCAGCTACATGAAACCTTTGCTTTCAATCTCTGAACTGAGTCGACGCTGTATTTTTAAGATACTGAGACGCCGTTCCATGATACATATTTCATGATGTCTGTCTCTGCATGTAAATGCAGTTTTTGAACACACTGCTCTATAGAGTCTCTTGGATTGTCTAGTTTAATTAATGCATGGTTATTGATATGATGGTACTGTATGATGAAGAACAGTAATATAATATTATTAATAAAGAATAAGTTGCTGTTCCAACTTTTGGAAATCAAAGATATCGCCACATCACTATAGTAGGCTATTACAACTGTATTTTTTTTGTAATGGTGTCTCTCTCTTCTCTTTCTTTCTCTCTCTCACTTTCTGTTTAGGTGGGTGCGGGAGTTCCTGAATGAGGAGAATAAGGGTTTGGATGTGTTGGTGGAGTATCTTTCGTTTGCACAGTATGCTGTCACGTAAGTCACCCGTGATTGTACCGAACATGAACACAATGAGCACAATGGCTCCTTTCACTCAGTCCGCTTCTGTGTCTGACAGCATGCCTTACTGCTGCTCTGAGAGGGCCGGCGTGTGTGTGTGTTAGAGAGTGTGTGCAGCCTGTTCACTAAGATCAGATCAAGTCACAAGATCCCATTTACAAACAAATAGCTCTTTACAACCTGATAAGAAATTTAGTTTTAGTGTTTTGGGAAAAAAAACAAAAAAAACTTTTATCAATACAAGACTCTAGTCTTGTGCTCACCAGGACTACATTAATATGATAAAAAAAAAAATACAGTAAAAACAGTTATATTGCAATATTTTACCATTTAAAGGATTAGTTCACTTTTGAAAAACTTTTGCTGATAATTTACTCACCCCCATGTCATCCAAGATGTTCATGTCTTTCTTTACTCAGTCGAAAAGAAATTTAGGTTTTTGATGAAAACATTCCAGGATTTTTCTCCATATAATGGACTTCAATGGGAACCGGATGGTTCAAGGTCCAAAAGACAGTTAATAACTGTTTCAGATGCAGCTTCAAATGTCTTTAAACGATATCAGACGATGAATAAGGGTCTTATCATGCGAAACGATCGGTTATTTCAAAACTTATTCCAAAAATGTAACTTTTCTAAGGACAAATGCTAGCCTTGCTCTATTCTGTGAGGCGCGTTTGTAACGTCACGTAATACGTAATTACGTTCAAAAGGTCACGGGCGACGTAGCCGGAAGTACAGAATCAAAATCGTCCGACATCGTTGTTTTACCTTTTAATTCCTTTTTTTGTAAACGGCGTTTGAGTTAGTTTTCACGTTCAACCTATGCGTTCAACTTGTAAACACTCTGACTCTGTACTTCTGGCTACGTCGCCCGTGACCTTTTGAACGTAATTACGTATTACGTGACGTTGCAAACGCGCCTCACAGAATGGAGAAAGGCTAGCATTTGTCCTTAGAAAAGTTACATTTTTGGAATAAGTTTTGAAATAACCGATCGTTACGCATGATAAGACCCTTATTCATCGTCTGGTGTCGTTTAAAGACATTTGAAGCTGCATCTGAAACTGTTATTAACACTATCTTTTGGACCTGAACCATCCCATTGAAGTCCATTATATGGAGAAAAATCCTGGAATGTTTTCATCAAAAACCTAAATTTCTTTTCGACTGAGGAAAGAAAGACATGGACATCTTGGATGACATGGGGGTGAGTAAATTATCAGCAAAAGTTTTTTCAAAAGTGAACTAATCCTTTAAACTTGAGCCAACCAGCCCCGTGACGTCAACTGCACAATGGCGGCGCCCTGGCGGCGAAAGATACAAAGTTTTTTCTTTTTTTGCTTCTAAATGTTTACATTTGTAATGTTTCTTATATAATTGTTGATTATATTGGAAATCCATCTTGTAAATCACTGCTTCATTTCCCCTTTAAATTATAATGGATGGATGCACTTTTTTTGAGCTTCAAACCGATGGTTGCAATGCACTTCCATTATATATTATTAATATAACTCCGATTGTATTCGTTTGAAGTCATATACACCTAGGATGGCTTGAGGTTGAGTAAATCATGGGGGAATTTTCATGTTAAAGTGAACTGCTCCTCTAAGTACATTTATTTTGTTATTTAAAAAAAAATAAATCGGATTAACATTTTTGCAGTGTGCATATGATCAGAAGTCCCATGGCCACAGATAAATGAAGTATAAAGGATATATGGGAATTCTCTTTTTGGGTTACTCTTATTCTAAGGATCTGTTGTTCTATATTTCACAGGTATGATGGTGACAGTTCTGAGAACAGCACAGATAACTCGGTGGATAAATCTAAAGCCTGGAGTCGATCGATTGAAGATCTGCATGGAGGAAACAGCCTCTCATCAGGTGTCACAGGCAACAGCATCTCCAGAACCAGCAGACATTCAACGTTAAGGTGTGAACATGAATCGACACAAACATCCAGACCCTGATATTATCTTATATTTCTAAACTGAACGCGAAATGGTGTGTCCGACTGTGATGTGGTGTGTACGGACTTCATGTGATTTCTGAAAGGCTCTTTTGTATGGTCATGAGGACTGTAAGACTTTAAATGGCTTAGGAAACTGTGCACCACGACGGAACACAGTCGACGTGTGTCTGTCTGTCTGCCCGCTGACTCACAGGACTGGTTTAGATATTTTTATTCTGATGAGGAATGGGAAAACTGACACATCACCATCATATGAGAATTAATAGGAACTTCCCTGTCTGTGATTTAGCAGCCTGATGACGGGACAGACGTATTTACAGTGAGCCTGAGCAGAATGGGTTCAATATGCTAAGCTCCCTGTCATTTGAATTGGATTAAGGTCGAACTCTTATGGAATTCTGCTCAGTTGTTGTTGTTTTTTTTTCTCTGGGTCACATGTCAAAAGCTTGCAAATTTTCAGTGCAGTATCTGTACAGTAGATGCATGTGTCTTCAACAATGATTAAGACAAAGCAAAGCCTGACCCTGACACCAAAGACTTAACCTGGATGACCAAGTTTTAAAAAATAAATATGGGTACACATTTAGTCTTTATATTATACTGGTCAAATTTGACAATGGTCTTGTACTGCAGTGGCTTAGATTCAGCATTACTGGTTTCCAATGTCATTTTGAATGCTAGAAATGCTTTCATAGTGTCGGTCACCCATGCTACATTTTGGGTTGTGCCCTTAAGGCCCATTTTTTCAGTTTTAAACGGGTCATGAATAAAGATATTAAATTTTTCTTGATCTTTTGACATATTTGTACTATAAAAATATCCTATACGTTTCAGAGCTCAAAACTTAGTACAAAAGCAGATTTAATGAAAACAAGCTGCCAAAATGACTTATTGACTTATCGGATTTTGTTACATATTATTATGTCATATTGTGATGAAAGACTACGGAGACCCGCACATGACATGCAGGAAAAAAATGTGCATGATTTATACATTTACAGAACGAATTAGTAAATCAAGCAGATGATTTTTTTTTATTCTTGCATGGCTTCGTTAAAGACAATCTGTTCAGAAGAAGAACAACACCTACTTCTACATCATTGCCTCTTTAGCCCCACCCACTGATTCGCGCATGTCATTTAGTAGTAAATACGAAACGCATGCAAACACAGGATTACTACAACAACAAACCGATATAGATGAGGATTACAAGAGTTTTGAGTTGCTAAATTGTGGGAAAAAAAACAGTCTTTGAATTGCTTTTCTTATACAACATCCTAACATCAAGAAAGCGTGAATGAATTTATTATTTATTATTTTTAATACATTTCCAGCCACATTGTCTCAGTAAGACTTTGTGCTATTGCTTTGTATGTTACAGATCGTTTGACAAGTACTCACTTTACTGAAAATGATGAACGATGAATATAAGAACAATGGTCATTACATTTATTCATAATTCATTTACACAAAACACCATAAGTTATCTTGTCAACTATAACTGTGTTAACTCCAAGTACTTCCAACTTTATTTACCACAAGAAAGGCTAGCAAGCATATAAAATATGCAGAAATGTTTCACTATGTACCGAGATAAACACCTTTTTGTAGTGTCTTTGTTTTAACACTAATATGATGTAATACAATTGATAATACAATTGAGTGTTTGCTTATCTGCAATATGTCTCTAGGACATTTTCTGTTAGATGTCATATAGACATTTAGAAGATGACTTTAAGATGATTAAGATTTAGAATGCATGTAAAACTCCTTTTTCTAAGACTAACCCAGACAGCAAACTGACATTGAATCAACGTGGAAACGACGTCTCTCATGACATTGAAACAACGTTGATTTTGCTCATCGAATTAACGTTGAACCAACGTCAGACGCGGCATTCTTCAAAGCTAAATGAAAATCGAAAATTGGTTTACTTTCATAACGTTGAAACAACGCGTTGATTTCAAGTTGATTTTCCGTTAGTTTTGAAAGAATGACGCGTCTGACGTTGGTTCAACGTTAATTCGATGAGCAAAACAATGTCAGATCAACGTTGTTTCGATGTCATATTTCCACGTTGATTCAATGTCAGTTTGCTATCTGGGAAGTTATCAGATGTTTTTACACAGCAGATGATTTCCAGATGACATACCTGTGCTAAAAACACAAGGAATAAATATAAATAAAGATTACCACTGTCGCAGACTGAGGTATTGGTAGCCTGGGAAAACCTAGTCTGGTTTTAGTCTGGTTTTAACCAGGCATAGTGTATTGGTATTTGAGGTATAGGTTCAGTGTCTTCTGATTCAGGATCAGACTCAATAATGTATGGCTGAATTTCACTAGTTCACATTTTTCAAGCTTTCAAAACAATTCCACAGGTATATTGGCAGAGATGTTGAAATGTATTTTAATATTCAATATTCATAACCCAATCACAGCGGCTTGTTTACTTCAAAGTCTTGGATGTGGCACTCCCATCGAAAAATGGGGGGTCAAAAACAGGATAGAAAATATCAAAATGTTGATCTTTTCATGTGAAAATCTTGCTAACATTATAAGTTGACCACAGAGAACATTATAAAATTCCCCAGCAGAACAGCAGACATTCTAACTGTATAAAACTTATTAAACAGAACATTATCACCATTTGTTATCGATGTATAGACCATTTCACAAGATGTAAACAACACTGGTCCAGAAGCACTTCCTGTTTCAGTTTGTAACTGTTTTCTTTATTTCACATGTAAAGAAAACATCTTAAAGATGTTTGTTTAACTTTTTGATTCAGTTTTAAATGTTCTGTTGGTTGTATTTTATCCCAGCTTTTATGTAGTGTTAAAAAACGGAAACAGGAAGTGCTTCTGGACCAGTGTTGTTTACATCTTGTGAAATGGTCTATAGTTATTGTTATCTTTCTTCGTGTCCGCAGGCCATTATGAAGAATTAAACGTTCTGTTCATACAGTATGTGCTATTCATTTCTTTAGGTGTGCAGTATATACATTATGTGTTCTTGCTGGAACGATGAACTGTTTTACAGGTTTTGTGAAATGAATGTGTGTAATTAATGCAGTTGTCACTCTGTCTGCAGTTTGCTGTTGTGCGTTCCCATCTGCGACACAAGGCACGTGTTTTCCGTCCTTCAGACAGCCTCCTTTCCTCTCCCCCTTATGTTTTTCAATGTGCTGTATTATGGAGCTTAGATTAACAGAATGAGTTCAGTTGCTAAGTAACTAGCTGTACCTGTCAGGCATAATCTCTGATTTCACCTGTTTATTCAGATCACATGGCTTTGCGATTGATTTATTAACCATTTTTTTTCACCACTGTAATCTCTGCAGCCAGTGGTGTAAATTTGTGATCCATAGTTCAGAGTTTCTGCTCACATGTAGTAGTTTCGTTCCCACGTTGTCCTTCTGCTTCTAGTATTTTGTAGGGTTAAATCTTGTGCTGTATTTAATATGTACAAGAATAATTCTCAAATTTCCCATGCCCTCCTGAAGAACAAAGACTCATCCACAATGTCCAAAGTGCTCACAGAAACAAGGGTACGTCTGCTGCATTTACTCAAAGTTCTAGATTTTGATAGAATTCTGTAATAGTATTGCACTAGATTGAGTGTGATACCTACTGTTAATATAACTTACGCATAACACTTTCTATGAAGCCTGTATTTATAAAACACAACCAGGGAATATTTTTGGCATTATAATGTACATAATGCCAAATATATGTTGTCTCCTATCATGAATGATTGTAAGAACAGTTTATAATACATAATACTAGTGGTTGTTATAACTTTTAAGATTTATAGCACAAAGAACACTGTGTAACTGTATATCCACTTAAATTATAAGAGATTATATTTCCAATAGTTATAATCAATCAAGTTGTATTTGTTAACATTAGTTAATGCACTGTGAACTAGCATGGACAAACAATGAACAACTGTATTTTTATTAAAGGGAATACTTAGGATTAAGCTTTGCAATAGTAGAACCCCTGTTGTATTTTCGAATTACCATGCTTTCCACCCTCATATCCCCCTGAGACGAGAGATTTATGTATGTTTTGTCTGGAAAAAATCCTCAGATGACGCAAAATGGTGATTTTTGCACCATCTGAGGATTTTTTGTCCAGAGGCTAAAGACTACAGTCAGTAGTAGGGTCTGTCCCGCATGTTCTCAACCCGCCCATAGAGGGTGGGATCTCACTCACAGAATGAACACATAGTGTCGGCCATCTTTTATTGGAAGCTAAGCTAGCAGGCTCTTGTTCTGTGGAGAAAGATGAATAGTAGGGGTTACGAGCCTCTTTTTCCCGGACATGCCCAGCCGTCGATGTCCGGGATTCAGCTTTTGCTTTTTGCAGTCGCCATTCATTGTTTATATGCACATTCAGTCTGATTGGTGAATCTGATTGTAGTGTTTACATGAGTGCTAAACAAGTGATCGGTTGATGTGCGTTTTAACATTGCTAAGAAAATTCCCGCTCCTCTGCGAGAGATACGATACCGGTGCGTCTCACAGGTGTCGCTCATCGGTAATCACGCCACTGGCCTCGCGCCATTCTCCCTCACTGATCCTGCTCGCCACAGTAAACATAATGAATGGCGAGTGTAGAACGCAAAAGCCGAATCAGAGACATTTTGGGCGATCTTGAAACACATTTTCAGGGAAAAAATCATCACTAGACTCATTAGTAGCCTACACTTGTTGTTTAACTACTGCGCTCTGTTACTGGTAGGTGTGGCCTCCTAGGGCAGCGAAGCAAGTGCATTCTGGGAGTTGTTGTCTTTCATCCACATAAGCCAAGAATACATTGTCTTCTTTTTCTCAGTCTAGAAAGCTCCAAATTCAAAAATAATTTCACATATCTTCTACATAAATGACCCATTTTATATACACATTCATCTTTCCAGAGGTGAAGTATCCCTTTAACTAACATGAACAAAGATTA